CAGGCAATAAGCCTCTGAATTATATTATGAGGTAAGGCACCAAACATAGTTACTGTTTCATTTCTTTTCAATAGCTCCACGTGCAAGGCGAAATGTGGCCCCAGCCCTTTTCCAATTGCATCTCCTGCCTCTGGACCTCACGTACCTTCTCCTTAAGCATAACGCATTATTATTTAACAGCAAGACTGTGTATCTCTTATGCCTTCTTCTTCTTCAAAGCCATAATTACAGGTAGAACCTTTTGTGTGGGAAAGTCCTTTGCCATGTATTTCAACATGCGAGTCATTATCATATTTTCAAATTTGGAAAACAACGCCCATAAGAACAAGTGTATTTAAGGGGACGATAGGGCAGAGTATGTGTAAGCAAGAAATTCTGAAACATTGTTCAAACCATGGCTGCTATACATGTTCACAGTGAATATGATGAAAAATTATAAAATCTTGCTAAATGATGTCCAAGAAATAACTTTTGCTGAGATGAAATCTTGAGTTGAAATAAAAAGCAGGGATGATGCAAATTAGAGCAATTGGGTCAAAAAAAAAGAGATGTGATTGAAAGTGATTATGTTTATTTGTTGAGGTTATTTGTAAACAGTTTCTAAAAGCATATGTTGATATATTTTTAGATTTTTAAGTTAATTTGATAACAAATGTGATAATAAGTGTAAAAATTTCTTCTTTAAAAAGAATGAGAGAAGGCGAGGCGCAGTGAGTTATGCCTGCAATCCTAGCACTTTGGGAGGCTGAGGTGGGAGGATCACTTGAGGCCAGGAGTTCGAGACCAGCCTGGACAAAACTGAGACCCTGTCTCTATGAAAAACAGAAAAATTAGCCAGGCGTGGTGGCATGCACCTGTAGTCCCAGCTACTTAGGAGGCTGAGGCAAGAGGATCACTTGAGCCTAGAAGTTTGTGGTTGCTGTGAGCTATGATGACACCACTGTACTTGAGCCTGGAGATAGAGCAAGACCGTGTGTGTGTGTGTGTGTGTGTGTGTGTGTGTGTGTGTGTAAGTAAGTAAATAAATAAAATAATGGGAGAAGTTAAAAATCCTAGTTTAGGTAAATCAATTAAATACTAACTTTCTCTTCATGCTTATTCACAGATTAAAAAAGAAATCTGGGGGCTTTCCCCCCATATGAGTTCATGATTTAGAATTTACAGATACAAAAGAAGCTAACAATCTTTCTAAGCATATGAGGAAAAAAAATAATTCTGTTTAAAGATGAATCCAGGTAATTTTTTTATTTCCTGAGACAGGGTCTTCCTCTGTTTTTTTTTTCCCCCCTGGTAGAGTCAGGGTCTCACTATATTGCTCAGACTGGTCTTGAACTCCTGGCCTCAACCGATCCTCCCACTTTGGCTTCCCAAAGTGCTGGGATTACAGGCATGAACCACTGTGTGCCACCAAAGCTAGGTAATTTAAATGGTTTTCATCAGGTCCCCAATGTGACAATCTCTAAAACTATGTAAGTAAATATTTATTTCTTGAATGATTTAACTATAACCCAGTACAAGCATAAAGTTGGCTCCAAAAGCAAAAGCCACTCAATGCCCAGAAAGTGCTTCTTCAGTAGCTGGTGACTGTCCTTGGTGTCAGGGTTGAGAAAATGAGTTGAAGATTCTTAGTACATAGCCTGCTGTAACCAAACTATAAAACTTTTTTAAAGCTGTCACACAGATATGTTTCCTTTTTACAATGCTACCAGTAATGCTGAATCATTCCTTTCCAAAGGGATCTTTTTAAACTTTACCATATTTTAAATTTCAACCATTTTAAGTTAATAAAAAAAAAAAACCCTTACATTTAAAGTGTAGGGTACTTTTATATTAATATATCTTCAGTTTTCAAGTTATTTTAGAGCCATGACGCTTCTTCAAACACTATTTTGGCCTGGGTGACAGACAGTGCTGATTTACGTACATCCCAAGCATACAGTCAGCCAGGTGAACGTGACTAGGCATGGGTCCTCCTCAGGTCATTAAAGAGGAAGCATTATTTGTGAAATCATAAAACTGTACTCCAGTATTCTAGTGGATATGTTGCTTTGTTCCACTACCCGAAGCATAATGAAAAGGAGAATATTATGATGATGTCAGAGGTCATCCTTTTTTCAGACCCTTAACAGTTTTCTTTCAAGTGTGTTCTTTTGTGAACAAAATTACAGCAGTCCACGTAATGAGGCACAGGGCAGAGCACTAAACGATATCAGGCCAGGTCAAAAAGCAATCGGGTTGAAAGAAGAAATAACTAGGAAAAAAAATAAATTAACTCATCTTCTTGATTTCGCACACCTTCAGCAACATTGCTCACTTGCATTATTGTCCTAGCAGTCAGTACCTACCCTGGGCAGGAAGGTAGCAACATTGCCGGGTGCTGATTCTGGAAAACGAAATGACCTGCACAGACTGAGCCATGTTGCTACACTGCAAATTACTAATGTTCAACTTGAACTTAGTACAGTAGTTTTCTGTTGACATTCCCATAAACTGGTCCAATTATTTTTAAATGAACCCTATTTGTTGAAAGAGCCTAGAAATAAGCCAAATATTTCTTTTGGCTTTATAGATATAATGCAACAATATCATTTATTATACATACCTGATAATGAACAAAACTTCCTTTTGAAAAATCAAAGCACTCACAAAACATGTTTATCAACAATGACTTCTAGGCCGGGCGTGGTGGCTCACGCCTGTAATCCTAGCACTCTGGGAGGCCAAGGCGGGTGGATCGTTTGAGCTCAGGAGTTCGAGACCAGCCTGAGCAAGAGCGAGACCTCGTCTCTACTAAAAAAAAATAGAAAGAAATTAATTGGACAGCTAAAAACATATAGAAAAAATTAGGCAGGCATGGTGGCGCATGCCTGTAGTCCCAGCTACTCGGGAGGCTGAGGCAGGAGGATCCCTTGAGCCCAGGAGTTTGAGGTTGCTATGAGCTAGGCTGACACCATGGCACTCTAGCCTGGGCAACAGAGTGAGACTCTGTTTCAAAAAATAATAATAATAAAAAATAAAAAAATAAAAAATAATTATTATAGAAAAAAATTGGTATTTGCATTACTCTGCATTAAGAAACCACTGTTACATTATTCCTACAAAACATTTTTTCTCATTCTCCTCATTACTGCCAGTGAAATTAATGTAGGTTTTTTTTTAATACTAGTCACTTCCTACACTTCCTAATTTTCATAGTTTTTCTCTGACACTAACCAATATTGACTGGTAAATCCTTGATAAAGGTGTGTCTTCCTCCAGTACAAAATGATTCTTTCATAAAATATTTCATGCCCACTCCATGTCAGGCTTTATGTTAAAGACTTTGGATGCAAAGTAAATTAAGATAGATTCTTTGCCTTTACAGCTCATGGCAAAAGACAAATGCATTAAGGTTACTATGAAGGGTAAGAGCAATGACACAGAAATATCCCTATAAGCGTTGTTTAAATCAAGCAGGAAGGTCAGTTAGCAGTTACATTTCATGAAATTAAGTCCATCCTCTTCATCAAGAAGGCGATGGCTTACCACTGTCTGGTCTGCACTTCCCTGTCTTGGCAAAGCAGCATAGATAGACATAGACAACATCAAAACATCTCTGAGAATTACATTCATCATCCTGTTTCCTCACTTCCCAAGATTTAGCATCACTGCATTTAAACATGTCCGTATACGACTTAATCTAAGTTGGAAAATATAAACTAGTCCAGCTGTTGTTAAGACTAGATATGTACCTGGTAAGTAAAACATAAACTAGAAATTTACAGCCTGATACAAAAAAATTAGATTGTAATTGGAATTTTTAATCATATGTACTATATTCTTTGATAGTTAGGCATCCAAATAAAAATAAGACATATCTGAAAGTATAAATATTTACCATATTATATACTAAATTAGAAGGCAAGTTGATTAGGTATCACGTCTTTTAACTATAACAACATAAAACAAGACCCCCCCCAAAAAATCAAACTTACATTATAAGAAAAAGATTTTTGATAATATTCCATGCTAAATGAGAATTAACATTTAAAATGCCAATATGCACCTAAAAATAAAGACTTGCCACATAGAAAAGCAGTGTATATATACATTTAAATTTACAACTGGTTACTTGCTCTCCTTAGTGCCTCAAGAACCAGGTAAAACAAACTGACTTCCTTAAACAGTATGTATGTTCTTAAGAGCGTTTTTCGTTGTTTTCTCCCAATACCTTCGACAGGCTTTAAAAGAAGCCAAATACCAAAAGACTAAAGAGGACAAATGTTATACATGGCCCACTCGTAATATTCTGGCTTAATAAATAGAGTCACTTTAACCAGAAGAGCCTCATTTGAATATATGAACCACGTATTTGATATATACCATTTTTTCAAACCATTTGTAGGTGAGTTCAATTTTTCATGGTCAGGGTGACCTCATAAGACTTGGTTATGGCCCAACCTAGCTCAGAGATGAAATCAAGGCAGTGGGATCACCCAGCAAAGTTGTTTTACTCCTGCAGCTCAATGACAAGAATGACTAGAACCAAAGAGAATGAAGATTGCCCAGCCTTTGTCAAATGGGATTGGTGAGGAGTTCCCTCTCTCACTAAGGAACGGTTACATTCAGCAGAAAGCTGAGGTCCTGAAATTGTGGGTCCTCATCACCTTTGTGGATTATGGGATTGTCACTGAAAACTGAGTTTGAAATAACAGCAGTTTCGGGAAGTTTGATTTATACATTCCAACCCAATTGAATGTCGCCTTGGAGTGCTGGTACTTGAAGATCCTTATGAATCTCCCTCCCCCACAGGCTAAACAGCCATTGCTTCCCAAATTCCAGCTTATACATTCATTTCTTGGGCAATTTTTCTCTTGGGGGGAAAACAATGGACTCTTTCAATCTTCTCTTATCAACAAAGGGCCCTAAGATGAAAAACAGTCCTTTTGATCGCATCCTTTCCGACTTCTTAATAAGGATAAGTGGGCCTTGGGGGAGGGGAGAGGTGAAAGGCAACTCACCTCTTTCAGCTGCTCCAGCTCCTGTTTGAGGCTGTCGTACTCTGCCTCCAGTTCGTCATACTGCTGTTTGAGGGTCAGCTTCTCTTCCAGCACCACCAGCCCGTACTCAGCAGCCTGGATCTTCTCGTGGGTCGTCTCTGTGAGCTCCTTGGTCAGCCTCTCTATCTCAGTCTTATAATGGTCCACCGTCTGCAATACCTCTTCTGCGGCCATATCCCCGGCGGATGGAGGCAGCAGGGGGCGACGGGGTAGGGGAGATGGATGCAAAGCAGGCGGGGAAAGGGAGTGGGAAATGGGGAGGGAGGGGGAAAAACGGGAAAGAAAGTGTGGTTGGATGAAGGGCAGCGCAATGCCCTGAAGGCTCTTCCGGCAGCGGCAGCTACACTGCCCGAGAAACTGAGGAGAAATGCAACATGGAGAATGCAGCGGAGCGGATCAGGCTCGAGGCGGCAGCTGCTGCCGCATGTGCCCTGCGGGACGGCCCCTCCGTGCGGTCAGCAGCCGTGCGGCATGGCCTGGGCTGCTGCGGCCGGGGGCGGCGAGGGGCTCCGGGTCCTGCTTCCAATTCAGAGGCGCCAGGCCGCCATGTCTCCAGGGCCGCGTCACTGCAGTCTCCCCCCGGGTCTGCGCGCTCGGCTCGCCGCTCGCTCGCTCGCTCCACCTGCTCCCTCTGGCCCTGCTGCAGCCGGTGCGGAATGGTGCAGTCTCGGGCCGGCTCCCTCCCTTCCCGCCTGGCCGCTGCCCCGAGCAGGGGGCGGGGAGCGGATGGAGTCAGCGCGGGGGGAGGAGGCGAGGACTAGACAGAAACATCCCGAGGCGCCTCCCGCCGGGCGCGCGGGGCCGCCACCGCCCGAGGCTCCCCTAGGCGCGCGCGGCGGAGGCGGCGGGGCCGGGCAGGGGCAGCGCCGGGCCGCGCGCGGGGAGGGGACCGACTCCCCCACCTGCTCGCCCGCGGCGGGAGTTGCTCCCAGGGGTTTGTTCCGATGGACGTCGAAGCCCCCGAGAGTGGCGTGCGCGCCCCGGCTCTCTCGCTGCGACGAGGGCCGAAGATCAAGAAACTGCCTGGAATCGGCGCCTTCTTCAGAGAAAAGCAAACGAAACTACGCGGGTCCGGGCCCGCGCATCCTCCTCGCCCCCTGGGCGCGCCGCTGCCTTTCCGGACCACCTGCAACCCACAAGAACGCTGGGTTTCCAAAGCCTTCCTGACGCGCCTCCTCCGCCTTCCGTCTGGCTCCCAGCCTCTCCCTGGTCTGGCCTGGTCCACCTAACACTCTCACCAAGTAACCTTATTGCCCCCTCAGACAGTCTTCACTAAATATTGCTCGCCCTCGCCCAGGTATCACAAAATCACTGTCTACTCAGAAAATTATCTCTGTAATGCACGCACCCAGTAAACGTCGAGGTACTGTATTTCTTGTGTCAATAGTTATTCCATCAAAACACCTTACTCTACGGAAAACTGCATGAAATTCCCTTTATAAGGTATCAACAATACCCTACAATAAGCATTTTTTAAATACTAAGAGCTAAGAGTTCTTGAAACCAGGTACCAAGCATGCTTCTGTGCATGTTACATGCATTCTCATCAATCCTAACAACGAACTTTTGAGGTAGGAACTATTATCCCCAATTTACAGGTGGTGAAAGAAAGTCACAGGGAGGTTGGATGATTTGCCCAAAGTCAGATAACTCTTAAGTGATGGAGTCAAAATTTGAATCAGAACTGCGGAGCCCCAAACTGGATCATTATGTTGGCTTCATCTTCAGTCATAACTAATGCAAACCCAGCAACTAAATGTCATATGCTTGTAAGGTAATCACATTAATCAACATGAAGAGTAACGATGAGGAGTCACAAAAGGAGGGGAAAGTAGAGTGGAAGAAAGGAAAGAGTGGAGAAGAGATGAGAATCGAGAACCATCAAGAAGAAAGGAAATAGGAGGGAGGAAGGAGCAATTTCTGTGTTACCGCCAGGCTGTGGGACCCTAGAGATCAATGGTTCTTCCCAGTTCCCTCTCTCCTCCCTGGTGGCACTTATTCCAGAGCCATTTGTCAGGGACCAGGTGTTCAACACGCACGAGTTTTCAGAGTTAGAAAGCAGGACCCGACTCCCCCATCACTATGTACGTGGTAAAGAAAAAAGACAATTGCTGATGGTTTGGAAGGAAGAGCGAAGGGCAATGCCCTTACAAAGCTTCCATTAATGGACTCTCTGGATGTGCTTTTCATTGCTACAGAAAACAGACAAAAAAAAATTCCTTCCAAATGCTGACATTCACAGTCACAACAGAATATTGTCTTGTGATTATCTGACCTAAAAAAACAAACAAACAAACAGAATATTCTCTAGTGATTGTCTGATCCAAAAATAAATAAATAAATGAGAAAACACTCAAAACGTGCAGTGCAGCCACCATGAATTCCAACCTCATGGAGAAGCAGGAATGATAATCACTACATCATTCCACCCAGGTTTCCTTGATCTCAAACTCCATTTGGGAAACCCCTCCTGTGTACTCCTGTAGCACCTGCCCTCTGTCACCCTGATGAATGATCATGAACTGCTGAAGAGAAAAGAGACGAAACCTGTAACTGCAGGTAGCTAACCTGCTTTCTTCCCAGTATGCCGCTGACGGTTCCTCACTCCACCAACTGTAAGCATAGTCCTTCCAAAGTGATCACAATACTTGGAGTAGACTGCTTGGGTCTCCTTCTCCTTGGCTAGAATTAAGAATGAAGTTTGCCTGTGTGACTTTCCTTTTTTCTAAGTTTCCATTGTGGCCCAGTCCCTATGCTCTATCCTTCCCCATTTTTCTGGTTGATATATTTTTGTTAACACATTCAGCCTGACTTCATTCAGGCACATACTTACTGTACACTATTCTAACACTTTAAGATTTTGGTTAGTTCAACTTTGATCCTATATATGGTGGTACTTAACTTGAAGAAAGTAAACTCATTTCCTTATACATCATACTTTACATATATAGAGAGAGAGCAGTGATGGGTATATAGAAAATAATTTCTTAAACCATTCTTCAAAGCAGGGTTCCCTCATTTTTCTTCATCCTAGCAGCCTTCAATTACTTATGGAACTTTCTTTATTACAGATGTCTAGGAAAAATTATATTTTGTGACATAGTACCTCAATCCAACCCCTTCTCAACTTTGTCAGCATGAATATTGTTTTCTCTTGCTATCAGTCATTCATTCACTATTTAAACATGTTTATTAATCGCCCATTATGTACTAGGTACAATAGTAGGCATTGTGAAATCAGTGACCAATAAGATGCCAGTGGCAATGATTCCTGACATCTTATATTCTGGGACAGACAGACAAAACAAAACAAAACAAACAAAAAACAAGCAACAACAACAAAAAACCCAAAAGATAAATTTCTAAATAATTCCAAATTGTGACATTGACCAGCAGGATATAACATAGTGGTTAAGAGTACAAGCTAGTCTTCTCGGGTCAAATCGAACTGTGCCACTTACTAGCTGTGTATTTCTCAGTTGCCTCATCCTTTAAAAGGGGATAATAATTTAAGCTCCTAATGAGATTGTTGTGAATAGAATATTATCTGACACCTAATAAGTAACATATACGTGTTTTTTAAAAGTTTTTGGAAAAAAACAAGGATAAGATTAAGGTAGAAAGAAGAAAGAACAGGATGATCAGTGGAAATTTCTCTCTCTAAAGAAGTGATATTTATTCCATTATCTAAGCAACAAGGAGTTATATATGCAAAATGTTGGAGAAGAGCTTTTCAAGTAAAGGAAACAACATGTGTAAAAGCTTAAGGCAGAAAAGAGCATGGTGAGCACAAAGAATAAAAATCAGAGGCCAGGCGCAGTGGCTCACGCCTGTAATCTTAGCACTCTGGGAGGCTGAGGCGGGTGGATTGTTTGAGCTCAGGAGTTCGAAACCAGCCTGAGCAAGAGCGTCTCTACTAAAAAGAGAAAGAAATTAATCGGACAACTAAAAATATATAGAAAAAAATTAGCTGGGCATGGTGGTGCATGCCTGTAGTCCCAGCTACTCGGGAGGCTAAGGCAGGAGGATCCCTTGAGCCCAGGAGTTTGAGGTTGCTGTGAGCTAGGCTGACGCCACGGCACTCTAGCCCAGGCAAGAGAGTGAGACTCTGTCTCAAAAAAAAAAAAAAAAAAAAAAAATCAGAGAGACTGAAGATTAATACGGAAAATGCGGGTGGCCCAAGACTACACCAGAAGACAGGCAACACCCGAGGGATAGGCCGGGATTATGCTTGCCTTGCAAGTCAGAATGAGGAATTTGGATTTTATTCTCAGGGCACTGGGAGGCCTTAGATTATCCTTTAGTCAGGAAATGGAATGACTTATTGTATTTTAAAGATATCACTGCTGCATGCAAAAAAGTTTGAAGGTATCAAAGGAGTCATTAGTTAGGAAACTGCTGTAGTTGTCCAGGAGAAGAAAACGGTGGCATAGCCTGAGGTGAGGCCTATGGGGGAAAGAATTGGGTGGATTTGAGATACACTGAGGGGGCATTCGAGAGGGTAGAACTCTCAAGACCTGGTTGAAGATTGAATATGGGATAGGGAGGAAAAAAGGAATCATGAATAAATTCTGATTTTCTTACTTGGGAAGATAGTTTGCCATTTAGTTAGAAGGGACAGTTTCAGGAAATCAAGAGTTCTATTTTGGACATATTAGGTTAAGACACTTTTGAAACTTTTGAATAGAAATGTTAAGTAGACAATTTGATGTATGACCAAAATTAAGAAGAGGTTTCTTGGGAGGTAAAATGATTTTCCTCTAGAAATCATTAGCATTGGATAGTATTTAAGTCCATGGAAATGAAGGGGATTATCTACAGAAAGGTTTATATGAAGACGAGAAGAGAGTCCCAGTCTCGGCCCTGAGGTGTCCCCAATAAAAGTTGAACTGAATAGGAAAAGCCAGGCTGGCACGGTGGCTCATGTCTGTAATCCTAGCACTCTGGGAGGCCTTGGTGGAGGATGGCTTGAGGTCAGGAGTTGGAGACCAGCCTGAGCAAGAGCAAGACCCCATCTCTACTAAAAATAGAAAAATTAGCCAGGAGTGGTGGTGCACAGCTATAATCCCAGCTACTCGACAGGCTGAGGCAGGAGGATTGAGGTTGCAGTGAGCTATGAAGATGCCACTGCACTCTAGCCAGGGCAACAGAGCAAGACTTTGTCTCAAAGAAAAAAAAAAGCCAGCAAAGAAACCTGAGAGGGACCAGTCAGGGTGGTGGGAGGAAAATCAGTAGAGAAATATTTAAAAGGGGACAAAACAGAATAGCTCATGAGGAGTGAGGGGGTAAGGACCAAGTCAATGCTACCAAGAGGTCAAGGCCA